TTCCTTCACAGAAAATACATTCTCCGCTCGCCCATAGCATTCAGCACCTGACTCACTATAGCGAAGTCAGTCCCAACGTTTTGCTGGCTTCCAATTCCGTGGATCCCAGTTGATTTCTCTGAGACTCTGGCTGTCCTGACTCACTCCCACCCTTGGTCCCTCGTCACACCAGTGCTCACAAGAACACTAACTCCCAGACCTTCTATGAATCACAGGAACTAAAAGGATTCTGCACTGTGTCTCCTGCCAGCACTGCCACGAGCTACTTCTTTTATTTTTCAAACTGAGTTTATTTATTTATTTGAGAGGCAGAGTCACAGACAGAAAGACAGAGAGAAAGGTTTTCCAGCCGCTGGTTCACTACCCTAATGGCTACAGCAGCCTGAGCTGGGCTGATCTGAAGCCAGGAGCCAGGAGCTTCTTCTGGGTCCCCATCATGGGTCCATGGATTTGGCCTATCTTTCATTGCTTTCCCAGGCCATAATGGAGAGCTGGATCAGAAGCAGAGCAGCTGGGACTAGAACCCATGCCTATAGGGGATGCTGGCGTCACAGGCGGAGGTTTAGCCTATTATGCCACAGCCCCTCCCCCCAAACTACTTCTGTACCTGTTTTCTTTTTTAAAAATTTTACTGAAGTTATACAAGTTTCATGTATTTCATATACACAGATTTAGGAACACAGCGATATTACTCCCTACTGTTTCTCCCACACAAGCTCCAACCCTTCCTCCTCCTCCCTCTCACATTCCCACTCTTAATTATTTTTAAAGATTTTATTTATTTATTTGAGAGGTAGAGTTACAGACAGTGAGAGGGAAAGAAAGAGAGAAAGGTCTTCCCCTCCGCAGGTCCACTGCCCAGATGGTTGCAACGGCTGGAGCTGTGCCAATCCGAAGCCGGGAGCCGGGAGCCTCCACCCAGTCTCCCATGGGGGTGCAGGGGCCCAAGCACCTGGGCCATCCTCCACTGCTTTCCCAGGCCATTGCAGAGAGCTGGATTAGAAGAGGTCAGCCAGGACTAGAAGCGGCACCCACATGTGATGCCAGCACTATGGGCGGAGGATCAACCCACTGCACCACTGCGCCAGTCCCCCCACTCTTAATTTTTACAAAGATCTATTTTCAGTTTGTTTAATGATTGTATAGTCAACCCTACACTAACTGAAAGTTCAACAATAGTATAAATAAGTAAAAACAACAACAATAAAACCAACAAAAACCAACACACTGTTCCTCAATGGAAGAGTCAATGGCTATAAACATCCTCCACACCCTCCACACAGGTCCACGACGTTCCTCTTCCTCTCCTAGGATTTCCAGTGCAGTTTTAGCCCCAGGGCAGTATTTATTCTCCACTGAGAGTACACATCTTACACTTCTTTTCTCATTGTTTATCCCTGCCTAGCACAGTATGTCCCTAATCTGCCATCTTGGAATCTCTGTAACTGTTGTTCACAGGAGTGAATCTTGATTATCTTCCTAAAACCCTTTTAAACAAAAAATACCTTCAGTTAGTCCACTCAGCTCTGGTTGAATACTTTTGTCCCAGTCGGGAAAAACAAGGCAATAGTAAGGAGTCAAGACAAAAGAAGAAGTAGCCACACACACCACACCTATACTACTGTGGTCTGGTTGCTGTCAGTCCACAAGTAACTAATAAGAAGGTTTCTTTCTTTTAGAGTTGGAAAGGATTATAGACTGCTGAAAACTGGGATCCTAGCCAGAAGTTTAAGGGGAAAATGGGAAAAGGTGTTTATCAAGATATAAATAATGACTGAGACATGCCAAGGAGAGTTTTTGAGTGCGGCAAGCAATTAGTAACTGGGGAGACACCAAGAGTAATATGAGAGATGGGGCAGAGGCAGGGAATCTGCAAGACAGGTCAAGTTCACCTGAGTTCAGAATCTAAGTTATATGAGTAAGTGCCTCGCTTGAGATCAATTTGTCCCAATTACTCAATTCCCTCTGACCTAAGACTAAAATCAAATTATTCTCTGGTCAGCCTGCAAGGAGGCCTGGTGGGAGGTTTGTATCCACAGCCTCTGTTTGATTTATTTTACTGAGCGCTAGGAATGGCCTGCAAATACACACAAAACTTGCAACAAGGATTCTGCGTCAAGCTGGCAAAACCTTATTTTAGGAGACAACTGCACTGTTGGGGATAAAGAACAGATTCTCTTGTCTCTGTTGTTCCCCCAAGTTTGCTTTGATTAAAATGGGAATCCCCAAGGCTTTATGCAGGGTTCACACCCAATGAGAGAGCTGCCACACCAGCAGCAGCGCTATAATGGTCTTCTCTTGTTCCTGAACTCAGCACATGGCTGTTCATTAATTAACATGGCACCCCATGAGCATATTATTTCAAAACTGTGGGCTACAAAATAAGACCTTAGTGCTATGGTATTGCCCACACATTAGTATTGCCACTCTTTTCTGTTGTGTATTTCTAATTATAAATTTATTAATTTTGGCTGGCACCGCAGCTCACTAGGCTAATCCTCCGCCTGCAGCGCCGGCACCCCCGGGGTTCTAGTCCCGGTTGGGGCGCCGGATTCTGTCCCGGTTGCTCCTCTTCCAGTCTAGCTCTCTGCTGTGGCCCAGGAGTACATTGGAGGAAGGCCCAGGTCCTTGGGCCCTGCACCTGCATGGGAGACCAGGAGAAGCACCTGGTTCCTGGCTCCGGATCGGCGCAGCGTGCTGGGTGCAACGTGCCGGCTGTAGCAGCCACTTGGTGGGTAAACCAATGGAAAAAGGAAGACCTTTCTCTCTGTCTCTCTCTCTCTCTCACTGTTTAACTCTGCCTGTCAAAAAAGAATTTTAAAAAATTTAAAAAATTAAAAAAATAAAATTTATTATCTTTTCCTTCGACATACCTATGTTGAACTTTCAGTGCAGTAAGCCACTTTATTACATGCTGTGCAAGTCCTACAGTAAATAGGATGGAGTCAGGGCCTCAAGGTACTGAAAGCTGGCAGTTGGGACAACCTTTAGAGGGACACAAAATGTGTGGCCATTACCCTGGAGTTAGGCCTACACATATGGGGCCATTGTTTGGGGCAGTGCTTCAGCTGCTGCTTGGAATGCCCACAGCTCACGTCAGAGTGCCTGGAGCAAGTCACAGCTCCACTCTTGTCTCCAGCTTCCTGTTAATGTGTACTTTGGGGGGCAGCGGTTGATGCCACAAGTGCTTGGGTCCCTGCCACCCACATGAGAGAACTGGATTGATTTCTGGCCCTGGCTTTGGTCAGGTCATTCTAAGCATCTAGGGAATGAACCAGCAGATCAGAAAGATATCTTTCTCTTCACCCTCCATGCCTTCCTTACTCTCTGCCTTTCAAATAAAGTAAATCGATTTTTAAAAAATGAATATGTACAAATCTTAGATTACTCCCCTCAGCCCTAACCCTTCTATTTTTACTATTATCTAAATTTTCCCTTAGGAATTTTGGTTGTAAGATATCAGACTCAAGAAATGTCTGGAAGATGGCACTGTTCCGTAGTGGTTTAGGCTGCTGTCTGTAATACCAGCATCCCATGTGGGCACCAGTTTGTATTCTGGCAGTTCTACTTCTGATCCAGCTCCCTGTTAGTGGCCTGGGAAAAACAGTGGAAGATGCTCCAAGTACTTGGGCTCATTCTACCCGTGTGGGAGCCTGGATTGAAAGTCCTGGCTTTGGCCTAACCTAGTACTGGCCATTGTAGCCATCTAGGGTATAAACCAGTGGATGGAAGATCTCTTCCTTTCTGTCTCTCCTCTTTTTGTAAATATTTTAAAATAAATAGGCAAATCTTTTTAAAAGATGTCTAGACAGTGCAACTAGACTCTGGACACTATGATCAGTGGTTAATCCTCATAACAACCTTATGAGTAAGAGAATGTTACCCTCCTATTCTATGTAATATTATTTCCCAAGTCATCTTTGTGTTTTCACAAAAGAGTTGCAGAAATTGGCTCTCACCTTTTTTCTTCTTGCTCTTATCCACACTCACCAATAGAGGACTTCCAGGAACATGTGTATTTCTATTCCCACAAACTATTGTTTATGTAAAACAGACTAAGAACCACTACCGTCTCCCCCTGGTAAGTCTCCCCCACTGTCCTGGTGAAAGCCCACACGGTTGAGATCCCACCCAATAGAGATGAGAAAATCTGAGCTCTGTGAGTCAGTGAGTTGTCCAAGGGCACATGCTTCTGAGACAGTGCACGTTTGACTATAAGGACAGCCCCTTCTCTTTGTATTAGAGCCAATTACCTCTTGTCTAATATGAAGTCATAACACATTATCTCACTTGTATGTATTCCAATATACATTCACAGTGACACAGATTAATTTCTTCTGGCATATAAACTGGAATGTGGCAGTTGAGTGCCAATCTAAGAGAAGGTCAGAACGGAAGCCTTGGGGCCTGAAGGACTCCTAGGAGATAAAAGGGCAGCAAAACACAGCGACTCGGCAGGCAGGGTTTAGAGTGGGGACAGAGCCAAGTGCAGGCCTCACTATTAGTCTGGGCTGAACATAGTTTAAATGGCTTTATATACTTAAGCCTAGTAACTGGGCTACAAATTTCATTAGCTAACCAGAAATCTTTATAGATGTTAACAAAACGCCCACTCTATGCCAAGCCCATATATCATTGTTTGGTGACATTAATTTATTTCTAGAACCTCTATAATTTATTTCTATAATCTCTATAATTCATTTCTGTAATTTCTGTAATTCCTTTGGGTAGGGAATGCCTCTTGCATCTTTTGTCCCTCTCTGCCTTTGGCAGAGTACATTAATAGCTTTTGTTGCCTCAAATTTCAAAGGAAATGGAAATTCAAAAATTTGTAACCCAATGGGTCTTCTTCAAAAATGGCCAGGGCTCTCTCTTAGGATGCAAATCCATGTACCTATTGCAATGAACCACTCTGCAGTCGTGGATAATGATTAAATCCAGGTTTCTGCTCTCCCTCTTTGAACATATGTGCATGCATTTCATTTTATTTGTTTCTGCAGGATTAAGGAAGCCAAAACCTCAGGCTCTTGGAGAAAGTGCTCACTTATTGCAGTTAAAATATCTCTTCTTAGTATGACCTCAGAAAGGTGAGTGTTTTACCTTTTCTAAGTCAGTGAATATTTCATCTCCCTTACTGTGGACAAGTGTTGAACCATATATTATTCCTGTTTGCTGTCCCAATCTGTTCATTCTCAGCTCATTCTCACTCTCTCATTTCAAATGAAAGCTTGAAATTGCACAAGAATTCTAACAGTGCCATCCCTTTTACTCTCAACATTTCTATGAACTTCAAGTACCCGAGCAGAATTTTGTTTCTCCGCATCTACCAAGTGAATTAGTGTAGACAGAGGGTGCACAACTCACACCATTTGCAGGAACTATTTCTTAGGATCAGTAATTTTAAAGCAGTGTACCTCCCCTGGCTATTAAATATGTCATCCTAGGAAATGCTGCTCCTTTCTACCCATCTCCTTCATCATCCATGTGTCAGCCATGCCTCAGGCCTGCTGGGCATCTGCTGTTTACCAGTGGGCCCCAGTCTGCCCTCCCGCCCCCTGGCAAAGTCCTTGGAGGAATGAATTATCAAAAACACAAGTGCCCATGGAGAATATAATCCAAAATGTATTAGCAATCATCATGGCACACAGAGTAAATTAACTGAAATTTCATTAAAGAATAAAACTAAAAGGTAAATATCTTCTCTTCTTGTGGTTACTAAAGTGTTCAGCATAGATCAAAGTGATGATTTTTTATAAATTTTATTTGGCCAATTTTTGGAAAAATAGTTATGGATAATATATTTTATGTCAGTTAAATAATATTTTGATAAATAAGACATGCAAGAGAAGGCCATAGAGGAATTTGTGAAGGCAAATATATAACAAGATAATTACAATAGATGTGGCTAGCAGAATAGTAATGCTATTTACCAATAGGACTGCAGAGGACGATGACTCACTGCAGCCTACTGAAAGATGGAGAGGGAAAACCAAAGGGTTCTCTGGAAAGAAGTCAGACCAAGATTGAGCTTAAAGATTGAGTATTTACTATCTTTTTTATTTTTTCAGAGAAACAGAGGGAGATGGTAGGGATGAAGGAGAGAAAGGTAGGGAGAGGGAGAGGGAGAGAAAGAGAGAGAGGGCTCCTCAATGCCAGCAGCAGTTAAGGCTGGGTTGGTGCTAAAGCTATATCAGAGAACTCAATGCAGATCTCCCACATTGGTGACAGGAGTCCAGTAACTTCAGTTGTCACCGTGACCTCCCAGGGTATGCATTAGCTAGAAACTGGAATCAGGAGCCAAAGCTGGGTATCAAATCCAGTGACTCCAATGGGGTACATGGGCATCTTAACATCTTAACTGCTAGGCTAAATGGCTGCCTTGCTACCTTTTTGAAAAGGAAGAATTTGTAGAAAAGAGAAGCTTATTAAGACATATTGTTGCCCTTTCTATTGTATTCATTATTAGCACATCTTGGGAAATCTATTAGTACGGCTTCTTTAGAATTCATTCCACCTGGTGAACTCCATGGACCCTTGCCCCCATTTAATTTCTGTGCATTTGCTTAATTAAGACACTATGATAAGTTGGGCCGACATTTCCTGGCAATTTATCATCAGCTGGGGAAGCTTAAGTCTTGAAGCAAATCTGTAAAAATATGCAGGTATGTTTATATAAAAGGTAGTTAAACTATTACCTTTTCATGTCGAAAAGGTTCATGTTGTGGCAGACAAGCTGTGTCTGTGGTTTTGGTTCTTTTCCTACTCACTAAAAGCCATCCATAAATAAACAGGAAGAAAGAAGCTCACCCTTTGAGGCTGACACTTTGTCTTCTGCACTAGATAGTTGGAACCGAGGTTGACATGAAGAACTTTCCTGAGAGTCACTGCTGGTCAACACTGGGACCGTTGCTTTGAGAATTTAGTGAGAATCATCATAAAGACCTTTAAAAATAGACAAGTTCTGTTTAGAGATGGTGGAATGGGAAAAAAATGAGTCCCATGATTGTCCTTATAAAAAGTTTTGAAATGGTCAGCTCCAAGTGTCACACCTGGAGTTTTCACAGAATTTACCATATAACTGTTGTTTACCTGGAGTCTGGGTTCCAGACTCTATACCAAGTATTTTTTTATCCTGCAACAGAGATACAGGCTTAGAAGTGTCCTCCTTCAGTTATATTATGAGTGGACTCATTTCTCTGCTGTCTCCCACCCCATTATTTGGGCTAAGTCATGAGACTTTTGCCTTAAAGGAATCTGGGAGTGAGAAGTGGATGGGGCAAGGCAAGTTCATTCATTCAGACAGGAGGGGAAAATAGAAACAAAGCTTCCTCCCTCCCAGCCTGGTGGGATAATGGAAAAGAAAGATAGAACAGCAACAAAAAAGTTTTATTCCCATTATAAGTCAAATGCAAGATTGATTAGGAGCCTAATGATAGGTATGGGTGGATACAGACATTGGTGGAGTTGCTTAGCTTCTAGGAAAGATTGTAGAGGAGGCTGCAGGCCCCCAGAAAAGCCTACAGAAATGATGCAATGTACTCAGTTTCACTGTCAGAGGTGTCACGGGGATTAGAATATGGATCGGCCTGGATCTAGTATACACAGTCTTCCCACGATGTCTCATGATTTTCTTTTTTTCTGAAGATAGAGACATGCGTTGCTCTATATTTGAAGGAAGAGGAAGAATCCGTGGGAATAGGCCTTTTGTCTTCCAGGACTCTTACTGAGACTTAGGGGAGATATAAAGGAAAAACTGCTGTTTTTAATAGGTCTGAAGGTCACCATGGAGTACCTGCGGGTGGCTGCACACAGTGCCTCCAGAAGCGACTGGGTTAAAGGGAGGCTTAACGTTACATTTTTGGAGCTGTTGTTGGGGAAGTGAAGAAATATGAAAATAATAATTGCTCAAGAGGTAGCAAGTGGCTTGTGGTGTTGATTTAATTAGAAGAGAAAGAAGAACTGACTAATTCAGTGCAACAGACATTAATTAAGTTCCTACTTTATACACGGCACGATGTGAGAATGAGATGCTACACAGACCACAGCAGGATACAATCAAATATAATACAAGACAGGGCAGCGAAACTGATTTTCTTTTTCCTGATTTTAAAGCGGCTCCTTTCTTGCTCTAATCTTGGTAAAACTAAAGGTAAAATCTGCACCTGTGTGAAGGCGATATGGTGCGGAGCTCTCAGAAAAGGCTGAGCCACTTAATAAATTTGCAGCCCCTTTTCACCTTGTCATGATCTCCCTGTCTGCTGCCGTATCTGTGGCCTCTATCGCGTAGTATGCTTTCTTATTTTCTTTAAGCTCTTATCCAGTTCAGCTTTGTTCATCAGCTGTTATGCAATCTACACAAGCAAAATTCTCCTTGGACTCGTCCGACTCAAGCATACATTGATAAACAGCAACTTTGGCAATGGCTGTTGCACACGTTTACGGGGCACTTACATCTCACCCAGCGGTGACACGGGCCAGATTATTTTTACCACAACCCAAAGACAAAGGCACTTCACAGTTACCCAAAAAGGCTTACTCTGAAATACTGTAAAGGAGATTGTGTGGGAACAAAACAAATGGGAATAGAATTTTAGTTTCCAGGAAACAAGAAAAACTTAAGACTTTTTCAGTTACGAAGCCACATTGTTGGAAAAATAATAATGCATTCCTTTGTACCCTTTACAGAAAATTAAAAAAAAAAATGCTGTGTTTAATTCTCTAAGGAGAATAAACCGGGGTTGGGAAGTGTGTTCTTAGGGAAATCTCACGAAGGAATCAATGGCACATCCTGCCCTAATTTGTCCTGATCTAGGCCAGCCAGCTTCCTTGGCTAGGCGGCCAGGACTCTCACATGGTTTCAGGGGCATTGGGGGGTCCCAAGCATTCCTGCCCCACCAAACAAATCATGCTATTAGAGAGCCTGAGTAGACCCAGTGACATGGCAGGGCAGCACAGGGCTTTCTGATGGGAGCAAGAAACCTGTCTAAACCATGGCTTTTCAGTGTGCACAGAGTGCACATGGAATTTTCTGGAAAGATAGTGGGGGAGGGGTGAGTGGAAGACATCTGTGCTTTGCCATTGCCTATTCCAAGGCCTTGCCCTAGCTCTCTTGCAATCCACTCCTACCATGATAGAAGGCATGGAGCAAATGCAGAGCTACCATGCACAAATCTGCTGACTCAGCATGAGCACTCCAAGACCTCTCAGAAGTTCAAGGCAGAGCAAGGCCTTCAACGCTCACCACACTGACTCGTACTGGCTCTTCTTCTCATCACATCAGCCTTATGTGTCCTCCTCCTTATACCACTGCACTGCCCCCTATATACCCTGAGTCATACAGGTGCATAGGCGAAGGCAGGTGGGAAAATTTGGGGGAAGGAACTTGAAAGAAGCACTCTGTTAGAGCTGAGGGAATGTGCACTTTTCACATGCCTTCATGTCATGGAGGACCACGGGCTGTGAGAGATAGCCATGTACCACGGCCATTTCTCTCCCCTGGACACAATGTAGACAACATTTCCCAATCTCCCTAGTGGTTGAGTGGCTTGCAGCTGCACCTGCCACTCAGGGTGTGGGCAGAAGCAGTTACTGCCCTTGGCCCCTTACCTTCCTGGGCAGTCCTCTTCTTCCCTTCTTGCTGCTGGGTGTTGACATTCAGGGTGACCCTGAGTGCTCCACTGTGAACACGGGGATCCTCTTTCAGCCTAGGTCTCTGTAAGGCCATAAGCACCATTGCTAGGGACTGCAAGGTGTCATATAAGTAAGGAAAGAAAAGACCAGAAAACTCTTCTTCCCTCCCTCTCTTTGTCCTTCTTGGCCTCCTTCTCTTCCCACCCCCTCACAGAGGGAAGTCCACAAGAGGACATAATGAGACTTCGCAAGCCGTCACCTTGATCTTGGACTTGCAGCTTCCAGAATTTTGAGGAGATAAATTTCTGTGGTTTCAGCAGTCTGTGGTATTTTGTTGTGGTGGCCTGAGCAGACTACTACAACCATACATCCCACTCTCACTCCCTCCCTTTGCAGCAGATTGGATTTTACAGGATGGAAAATAAACCTCTCTTTTTGTTAAGCCACTGAGATTTCA